CCCCCCCCGTAACTCGTATCCCGTATTCACACAACCTGCAACCATCTGAAATACGATACTCCGTTCTAGACTTCACTCGCATCAACTACCCTGCTTCTCTCTCGCTACTGCACTACTCAACTTCCCAGTTCACAAATCACACCCAACATTTCGCTCTTTGCCAATCCCGCCCCCCCCCTTCATCGTCCGTCTTGGCCCCTCCCCCCGTCGTTCCGCGCGAATTCCCACGGGCAAGAGCCATTAAGAGATCCATGTTGCAAACACCCTTCCTGCGAGCGCGGGAGTCGGGTAGTTTAATCCAATCCTTTTCCTCCTTTGCCTTCGTTCCCGCTTGCTGCTGTTCGTCTATGGCCGTATCGAGGTTTCCCTGGTAGAAATGTACACAGTACATGCCCTCGCTTCGTACCCGAGCTTACCATACAACGTTTTATTTCAATTATTTGGGGGGTCACTCGGATGAGGGCGCCGAGATTTGCTGATGATAATGATGATCGGCGTGTATTTGGGGTATGAGTATGGGGTGATTTTTTTTTTTAGCAAACTTGGTTCTTTTTTGCTTTCGGTCGGACTTTTGCAGGGTTTGCGGTGATAGATTGTGAGTATGGTATGTGCATACTTACATAACCTACTTTACGGACATGAAGTAGAAGTTCCGTGGAGACTAAGTACACTACAATAGTGTGGGTTGGAAAAAAAAGGGGGGTGATGATGTGATGATGATCAGGAACCACCTACCACGCGACAAAACAAAAGTGCGGGTCCTGCCGGGATTTCGACACTACTGCAACTCTACACCTACTTACTACTTACTAGAGTACCGCTCATCACCATGGCAAATAGCGACACGAGCGCTTCTTGGCAAATGTCGTGGGCATGAACATCTCTCATTTCCCTTTCATGACTTTCTTTACCATGCATAAAAATGTTTGGGCCATCACAAATGGACACCGGTCTTGCAACAGGCTGTCCTAGACATATTTTTAAGAAACAAAACTAGCGTCTTATTCAAACAGACAAAACATCCCAAACAACCCCGTGCCAAAACAATGTCAAACACCACAAGGCTGAAGACATCATGCACTACAACACATCATCTATCTATCCTCTACCGCGTATCAATCAAATCCTCCAAAAACTCGTCCAGCTCAATAATCGTAAACTGCTCACCCCACTTGGCTCGGAACTGGCGTTTCCTATAACCACTGTTGATCTGCTGCCCCCAGCTGATCAACTCCACCCTCCACCCCCGCTTCAACGCTCGCTCCACGTGAGCTAGGAACCCGTCTGACATCTCTGCAATCGCCCCATCCCCCGTCGCTAGCACCATGGTGCTCGGCCATTCGCAATCAATCATGCTCTGGCACATCTTTAAGTGAAGAATCTCATCCACTCCCTGCTCAACCCATTTCGGGGCTGCAGGTGTCTTGGGAGCCGGCGCGCTCGTTTCAGAGTCACTGCCGCTGCCAGACCGCATCTGCGTCGCCTTGTGCCACCCCATCTTCTTGACATCGTTGAAGAATTTCTTCTTCTCAGAGTCTTCCCGTACAATCAGCACTTGCTCTTGCATCACACTGTCGTACCCAACTGCCTTCGAAGTCTCCACTAGCTTCTCAATGTGAGGAAGCGGGTTGGCTTCGCGGTGTGAGCCGGCGAAAAATCGCTTGGCTACAGGTCGGCGCCGCTCCATCAGCAGCGCAAGACTATCAAACGATATGTCATACGCGTTATGGTGAAGCCCATGCAAGCGCAGCATATCCTTGAGTCCAATCATAATGTTCGAGGCATCGACGAATACATGCAAACCGTGCTCACTTTGCTTCTCGTTCAGAAGCTGCATCGGCGCCACCAGCCACTTCTGGTCTTCCGGAAACTTCTCCATTAGCTTGTTGAACAGATGGAGATGACGATCCGTTTTCGATCGAATCACAAGAGGTGGTCGCCGTCCGCTGAACGAGCCGGCCCGTGGGGTCGGTGTCGTCGGAGCCTGGGCTACAACAGCGGGTTGTGAAGCAGACCTTGGTAGAGTGACTGGTCGAACAGTTCGTGGGACAAGTCCATGGCGTACTGGAGTAGCCACAAGAGATGGCCGCTGTTGTGGGAGGTCAATGTGTTGGTCTAGCACTGGAGTGCTCGACGTTTCGTGTATGGCTAGATTAGGTACTGGCGTTTTACAGGGTGTAATGACCGGTGCCTTTTGTAATGGCTGAGGAATCACTGGCTGTACTGCGTATGACTGCTTGAGTATACTGGGACGAAGCTTGGGTGTTTTGGGCTGCTTCGGTTGCTTCAGCTGAATGTCATGAGCACCTGTGGATTCTGGTGCGGTCGTAGGTCGGATTTTTGCACCAACATTGGATCGTGAACTCGTTCGGGAGGGCTTTTGCGGCTTTTCAGCAACATCGTTATCCTCCACCGAGTTATTGGTAAGCTTGTCTGATTGCTTGCCATTGGAGCCTTGTTGTTTTTTATGCTCCCTCTGCTCGCGTTCTTCAGCGAGCTGATCAAGTGTTTCTTGCATGATCCGCTGGCGGGTTTGCTCTTCCAGCAACTCCTTCTCAGCACGTCTGCGAGCCTTCTTGCGCTGTGTCTTAGTCAAGCCAGGGCTGCTTATTGGCTCAACAGTTGAATTCTCAACACACTCGACGGGCGCCTGAGCCGGCTTCAAGGTTGGAGACGGCAGCAAGGCATCATCTGAGTTGCTAAGCTCAGAGTCAGGGTCGAGGGGTGGAAGCGGTGCTACCAAACTGTCTGAGAAGCCTAGGCTCTCAAACAGCTTGGAGAAACTGCCCAAGCGTACCCCGCCATCTTCACAGGCTGGTGTGAAGCTGCTCTGCGTTGTGGGCCGGAGCGCCGGAGAGCAGATATCTTCGGAAGCAGATTCAATCAGATCAATGACGGGGCTGAAGTCCCAACCGGTATCAAGAGATTGTGAAGGCATTGAGTATAGTTTCCTCGAGGGATAATAAAATAATCGTAATTCAGTGTGTTCGTCGAAGGTGAGTGGTGAATGCTAATGTGTGGCGGAATCTGGAAGGGTGTCAGATGAATACAAGGAATCTCAGGCGGCAAGCTCGGCGCCCTGAGAGCAGTGTTTCGATGATACAGCCTTGCTACACTAGGCACACTCAGCGCGTAGAGGCTGTATCACAAGGCGCAGCAGATGGCCAGACATACTGTGTAATTGGTCTCGAAACAAGGGTCTTAATCGCGCGCTCATGATCAACGGTGGCGACGTGTAGAGAAAGAGGTATTGCCAAGCTCAAACAGTAGCTATAAAGGCAATCCTGGGGAGATAAGTGTGTCAGTAAGAATAAAGAGAGCTACAGGAGCGTGAAGATAAATGCCTGATGTTTGGGTGGCGGCGGGGTGAAGGTCATCGGGGGGGTGTCTCAGCCTCATGGTCCGAGCTCTAGCCTGCTCTAGTCTATTCGCTTGGGTCGATATGCCAACGCCACCGAGAATGACACACATCATGCATGCTGGAGATCGGAACGTCTTTGGCGCTTCACTCGCTTTTGTTTGTTACCTTACCTGGACCATTTACTGTGATTATTCGAAACATAGGGACGGCTCTGTGAGCTACGTAGGTACGGAAAGCCCAAGAGCGGTCTGACGTGCCCATCATCTGGCCTATCATCATTTGGCCTTTCTAGAAAGCGCAGCCGAAATTAACCAGTAATCATGTGCTGGCGTTGCTCTAGCACCGACAACTCGATCAACACTGACCGACTTAAGTTCAACCCCAACCACTGTACAAGAAACAGAAGACGCATCAAACCTCGTAGACAAGTCCTGGTTGCCAGGGTGCGCATCAACATGATAGGGCCGTCTTGGTACCAGTCTTATGGACAGGAAGATAGTTTTCTCCCGGTCAAATTCAAGCAAGAGTTTCTATATCGAGACGAGGTAAGTTTCACGACTTGTGTTATAACTTGTGCAAATGCATGGCAAACTCAAACAATCATTGGAGATAATATCTGACGTAATCTTAACAATTTCATGGACCATCTCGTGATGACGGATGTTCACAGCAAGCAAAATAAATGAACATGGCCCAAACAATTTCTCATTCTCACAAAAATATGCACAGGCAAAGCGATAGGATTTCATGTTCAGGAAGACAATATGACCCTAAACCCTGCAGACCATCACTCGTCTTAACCTTGGCAATAGCATAACCACAGACTCAATTTGATAGTCAATAATGCAAACGCAGGACCCACGCACTAACCATGCATTCTCCATTTCCAAGAGTCGAACATGGTATTTCCACCTTCACATCCATCTGAGCCTCGGCTGTCCTACTAGTAGATCCTCGAAATCCCTGCCCCTCCCCACCCCACTCCCCCAAACCTCCAAAGACCCTGCATTACCCCCTCTAGTACTAGACGTGCCCCAACCATTCCTACATAATTTTCGCCTCCCCCTCCCTCCCACACACCAATAGGAACACACAAAAAAACAAGAGAATCATGTCCGCAGACTTCTGGGCCGGCTACATTTCCGGTGCAGCAGGCATCATCATCGGTAACCCACTGGACCTCATAAAGACGCGTCTGCAGGCAGGAAATGCACCAGCACCACATGTAGTAGAAGCTACACCGACGACAACAATAACAGCAGCAGCAGCGGTACAACCACAACTCCAAACCCTGCAAGGTTTCAAAGCGCAATTCGAAAATGCCGGAACACTAGTTAGAGGTGAGACCAATAACTTCAATATTTACTATTCTCCCATATCATGAATTCTTTATTGCTTTGAAACAAAAAAATGGAGTAAGGGAAAGTGAGGAGAGAAACCCTTGATCCTATTTTTCTTTTTCCAAAACTCCATTAATCCCTTCCTTGCTCGAACCGGAAAAAAAAGGGAACAAACTAACAAGCACAACCACTCCAGTATAGGCGCCACAGCCCCCATCCTCACCTACGGCGCCCTCAACGGTCTCTTATTCGTAACCTACAACCGCACCTTAGCCCTCCTACACGACACCCCAGCCTCCCCGCAAAGCCTCTCCAACGTCTTTCTCGCAGGCGTAACAGGCGGTCTCGCATCCTTCGTCGTCAGCGCCCCTACCGAGCTGATCAAGTGCAGAGCCCAGGTTTCTACGAGCCAGACAACGACGTCGTGGAGTGTGGCGAGGGATGTGTGGAGGGCTGAGGGGGTACGGGGGTTGTATTATGGAGGTGCGATTACGAGTGTGAGGGATGCGATGGGTTATGGGCTTTAGTAAGTTTCCTCTTCTTTTTTTTGTAAACCTAAACACGTGCAATTCTTTTGGCACGTTGGAAGAGGAACGAAAGGAAATATAAGTATGGGTGTGTACTAACTACAATTTCTAGCTTCTGGTCGTATGAAATGTCCAAACAGGCCTGGAGTTCGCCGGATGATTCGGACCAGGAAACGGCGATGAAGGTACTCATGTGTGGTGGGTTGGCGGGTGTCGTTAGCTGGACGTCCATTTTTCCCTTGGATATGATCAAGACGAGAGTACAGACCCAGGTACTACATCCACCGGCAACAGATGGAGAACGAAGTGGGCTCCTGCAACCGGAAACCCAGAAGAAGCGAATGAGCTCAATTGAAATTGCCAGGCAAGCATACCGGACAGAGGGCGCAGGCGTCTTCGTCCGTGGCCTGGGCATATGCAGTGTACGCGCTTTCATTGTCAATGCTGTACAATGGGCCGCGTATGAGTGGATGATGAAGTTGTTGCAATAGTCAAGATTTGCACGCCAAAACAAAAGAGTGAAGCAAAGGCATGTGCATAAGCCTTACGAAATTCCCATTCGATGCTATAGCTACATCTCAACAGCTAGCTTTTAGTGTAGACAAGGAAATTTTGTTCTCCTACAGTGTTTCCCCGATACCAGAACTGACTCGCAAGATATTCTCTCCAGATCCCATTCTGTGGAGAGATGCAAATGTGAGATAAAGGAAAAAAATCATCCCTGATAAGGCGCTTGCTACCACAGCAAATAAAAAATGTGCGTGCATCATCATGTAGATGCTAGGTATCCCAGATGCATGGCGAATGAAAGAACGCATTACATAATCTGGTCTTGGGTCAAGCCGCCAGTGTGTTCGGTACCTTCCATAACATCGCCGTTGCCTACGTTGGTGTATTTGACGTAGGCAAGGCCGAGAGGCCTGCCACCATACTGGTAACCAGTGAATTTGGCTATAGATGTGTTAGTAAGTTGATATACAACAACTTTGAAGAACATACCGATAGACGTCTCTGCGTCAGCAGCCTTCTCGAACTCAACTACACCGGTTCCGCGAGAGCGACCGTTGGGCTCGTATTGAATCTCGGCACGCTCGACCTTTCCAATCGTGGTGAAGAGCTCGACAAGATCCTCGTTACTAGTCGACCATGGTAGGTTGCGAACGTAGATGATGTTGCTGGGTTCTCCACCTGCAGTGGCAAAGTCTGTGAATGGGTTCGGGGCAGGAGGAGCAGCGTTGGGGTCGAAACCAGGGCCACCGGCACCACCACCGTATCCGCCATTGAAGCCACCGCGACCTCCGAAGCCTCCGTAGCCACCACGACCTCCAAAGCCACCACGGCCCTGGAAGCCGCCGCCAAAGCCTCCGCGGCCTCCGAAGCCTCCGCGACCACCGAATCCACCAGGAGCGCCGGCAAAGCGGTCCTCGCGAACCTCGAGGTTTCGGCCCTGCCAGTCATAGCCGTTGAACTGGGTAATGGCATTCCGGGCATCCTCGGGTGTCTCGAATGCAACCACACCGGAACCCTTTGGGCGACCATCAGGTGCAATGTGAACGTCAGCGCGAAGGACTTGACCATTGTTGGCAGCCTGGCGGAAGAGGTCTTTCAGGTCCTGCCAGCCAACGTTGTAGGGAAGCTAGGCAACAAGGTTAGCAAAGACCACTAATGTAAATAACAATGGGGACAATGAAATGGGTGTACAAACGTTGGAGACATAGACCTGTCGTGCTCCGGTTGGACCTCCAGCAGCAGCGTTATTACCACCGAAGCCACCGTAGCCGCCGCCGCGACCCATTCCGCCGCCAAAGTCACCACGACCGCCGGGGGCACTGAATCGAGGCTCGGCCTCTCGGTCTTCGCGAACGTATACGAGGCGTCCCATGAGGTTCTGGTTGCTGAGCGTTGCAACAGCGTTCTGCGCCTGCTCCCGAGTTGCATATTCCACGATGCCACAGCCCTACACCCAAAGCAAAAGCCAGTCAACCTCCATCCTTCTCACGATCAAGACAAGCCATCATCCATTACCTTTGACATTCCGTTCGGTAGTAGCAAGACATCTGCAAAGAGGACCTCTCCAGCTATTTCCACATTAGCCCATCTCTTGACGCGACAACGCAACACATGCCATCCGTACCTTGGCGCATGAAGTCCTTTAGGTGATGCCACTTGACATCGTACGAGAGATTGCCGACGTAGACGCGACGGTCTTGTTGCGAAGAGTCCCTAATGTTCTGCATCATCTCGCCCTTGTTCTCAGTGGGTCGCGATGAGCCGCCTCTGCTGGCACCGTACGACTGGTAACTTCCCGCACCTTGAGCACCACTGTTGGGGGAGCGCGAGCGGCGTTCAGTGCGACGGTAGTCGTCTCGGCTGCGAGAGCGGCTGCGAGGTGAGTAGGAGCGTCGGGAGCGTCGCGGGGAGCGAGAACGGCGACGAGGGGAGCGGTCGCGCTGGTCATAATTGTCAGTTTCGTACGACATGATTGCGACGGTGCGTCGATCAATGCGTCGAAGCGGAAAGGTTTAAGCGGGTTGCGGGCGGGTGATGCGAGCTGGTGCAGGCTCGCAGGGTTGATGGGGTTGGAAGGAGAGGTTGCGCGAGCGGGCGAGCGTGCGTGAGCAGCTCGGAGCTTGGGCAACGACGAACGAAACGCGCGACGGCAGTTGCCGGCCAATCACGTGCTCTGGTCAACACCAGCGGACACCACGCACCATAGAGGTGAAGTGAGGAGTGAAAGGGAAAGGGGAAATGGACAAGCAGCTCGTCTGTCACGGCCGGCCTCGACGGGATGGCGGCTAGCAGGTCAGACAAGGGCAGGCCAGGAGCGGTGCGGTGCGGTGCGGTGCAGTGCAGTGCAGTGCGGTTCACTTGCCGCCTGGCCACATGGTCGGCGGGCGACGATTGGCGACGGGCAAAAGAGAAGAGGTGGCTGTACTCACTCGGTCACTGGGACGATAGGTGTCTCCTGCGGAATCTAGCAGGCAGAAAAGTCAGCAGGAAGGCAGGGCTGGTTATGAGGAGAGGCAGAACCGTGATGGCGCTGGCGCGGAGGGCGGATGACGGATGGAGATGGCGACGTTAGGAGGGGGATCTGGGGGAAGTCGAGGGGCACTTACCCATCCTGTGTGGTATGAGAAGCAGCTGCCGGTGACACTTGCTTAAGGCCGGGCTCCCTGCCAGCTGAGACGGCCTGTAGGACCCAGTCGTGGCAGTGGTGCAGATATCACGCTGCAGAGAAATTGCCCTTCTTCCGCCCACGCCTCAGCGATGACGCCCGTATGGGTCCTCGACAGTGCAGCCCTCCCCACGGCACAGCCCCGCCCAGCCAATCACGCCGCCCACGCTCGATCCGAGAGCAGAGCAGAGTCCCAAGAGTGCGGTTGGTCAGCGGCTGCCGACGTGAACTGTGTCGAGCCTTGAGGACGCACCCACTTGCACCGGAGCGAGTCGACCTGCTGCCGCGACCCGACGACCAATTGTTCCGGCAGATCTGGGAGCCAGATGCGAATGCGGCCGAGATGAAGCGGCGCTGGAGGCACCTTGATGGATGAACTGGGAGAGATAGAGGGTGGGTCGTTCGGTCGGACGGTTGACTGCTCGCTCGCGCCTTTCCCCCACCATTACGGTAGACCGTGCGCATGCGGGAACGGTCCTTAGTCTGCGGCATTCCTTTTAGCATTGGTTTCCACCCACACCTCATGGATCGAGTACGTAGGCCTATGTACACAATGCTGTCGCCCAGCCCACACCTGCTCAACCAGCCAGCAGCCATTGACTTGCGGCTGCCCGAGCCCCAGAACACAACGCTGAACCATCACATCGTCACATTGCCATCTTCAATTGGCCCATGGCGCCGAGGCTACGCTGTGCACCAAGACGAAGCCCCGTCACACCCGTGCTTTGTATGACCGGGACATTATTTCGATTGCCTTCCGTTAGCCTCGGTCTTTGTGGACACGTTAGCTGACCACGCATATCATTTCGTGGCTGCCTTCCGGCTCTCCCGATGGTTCACGTACCTAGATGTTCCGGGATCCGACGCCTGGTCACGTGCGCATGGTAGGACACACAAGACATTAGCCTGGCTCAAGCAGCTTGCGCACATTTATCTCATATTTACACCCAGGTGGAACTGCGAGATCCAAGCTCCTGGAGCTTCCCCATTACTGTTATTCTCAATCCATTACAGGTGAGAATGCATTGACTGTGGCATGAAACTTTCCATTGATGACTTACCGAAAACCTAAAAATAAAAATAAAGATAGCGAGATTTGAACAATCTGCCTTCCAAACACTCAACAAACTGACACAGACACATTTCCAAAGGTGGCACATAGAGTTCAGTGGGGACTGGGATTCGCTCAAATGGGGATACAGTTCGTTTGCTGAGTAACCATTACAAAGGACACTCGACATTCGTAGCACCATTGTATCTTGTTAATGCAGTTAGGAGGAGCCGTCAGATTACTCAAACTAAGGCAATTGTTTACAAAACTGGGTGTCTTTTCCAAAACTCGAGGCTGACTAAACGCTGCAATGGCGCCAGAGTCGGAAGTGCTAACGTCATGTTGCTGAAAGCCGAGGTTCCCCACAATAAGTCGACTAATCCCATTCCGCCTTGAACCCTATCATTATCTTGTTACACAACGACGCCAATTGAAAACAAACATACAATTTCCAGTCCAACATCGCTGCGCGTGAGTTGACGCCTGTTTGCTCCCTCCGTCCAACACCAACACAAAACATGCCTTCCAATTCGCCATTTCCAGATGTGAAAATCCCAGATGTCGACCTATGGGGATTCATGTTTGAGCGGAAAGACAGGGACTTCTCAGATGACAAAGTCATTTACCGTGCAATCAACTCTGATCGAAAATATACATTTGCCCAAGTAAAAGACCAGGCGAAAGTATTCGGCGAGGGACTCCTGGATCTCTGGGGTTGGCAGAAAGATGACGTTTTGGCACTGTATGTGCCAAACGATGTCGATGTCCCGCCAGTTATATACGGCACCTTTTATGCAGGTGGAATTGTTACGCCTGCAAATCCAGGGTATTCCAAAGATGAATTGGCCTACCAGCTGGAGAACTCTGGCGCCAAGGCACTCGTGACCACAAAAGCGTTTTTGACAACAGCGTTGGAGGCTGCAAACAAAGTCGGCATCCCAAACGATCGAGTCATTTTGTTGGGACCTGAAAGAGATGATTCTTTTAAGCACAAGCACTGGTCCAGTATTCGGAAGGCATCCATCTTAGAACGGTATCGCAGAAGGAAAGCCAACCCCGAAGACCTGTCGTTCCTTGCCTACAGCTCTGGTACAACTGGGCTGCCAAAGGGCGTGATGCTCAGCCATCGAAACATCATCGCAGATCTCCTTATTCTAAAAGGGGGTGTAGGCCACTGGTACTCATCAGCAGAAGACAAGTTCCTAGGCGTCCTCCCCTTCTTTCACATCTACGGCCTTACTGGGCTCGTCCATCAAACACTGCAGCGAGGCATCGAGCTTGTCGTGATGCCCACTTTCGACCTAAAGATGTTCCTGGAAGCAATCCAAGAGCACAAAATCACATTCATATACGTAGCACCCCCCGTCATCGTGCGCCTATCCAGAGACATCATAGTGACCCAGTACGACCTCTCATCCCTAAAAATGATCACCAGCGGCGCTGCACCCCTCACAAAAGGCCTCGTCGACACCGTACACAAGCGACTGGGCCTGAAAATCAACCAAGCATACGGCTTGAGCGAAACAAGCCCCGTAACACACACTCAGGTACTTTCCAGCCTCATAAACCAGAACAGAAGAGACACCCCCCCTGCTAACCACCACTACTAGCCCTGGGACGAATGGTACACCTCAATCGGCAGCGTAGGCAAGCTCCTCCCAAACATGCAAGCAAAATACATTTCCGCCTCCGGTCTCGAACTCCCCCCCAACACCTCTACCCCGGGTGAACTCCACCTCCGCGGCCCCAACATTTTCAAAGGCTACTGGAAAAACCCCTCGGCCACCGCCGCTGCCCTAACCCCCGACGGCTTCTTCAAAACAGGCGACATCGGCTTCCAAGACGCTAACCACAACTTCTACATTACAGACCGTGTCAAGGAATTAATCAAGTACAAGGGGTTTCAGGTCCCCCCTGCGGAGTTGGAGGGTAAGCTTATGGAGAATGATTCGGTAGGGGATGTTGCGGTGATTGGGGTGGAGGATCAGGATAGGCATACTGAGGTGCCGAGGGCGTATGTAGTGCCTGCGGAGAACATACGTGCGAGGGCTGGTCAGGACGAGGCGAGACATATTGTCAAGTGGATGGAAGAGAGGGTTGCGGGACATAAGTGGTTGAGGGGGGGAGTTGTGTTTGTAGAGGAGATTCCTAAGAGTGCGAGTGGTAAGATTTTGAGGAGGGTGTTGAAGGAGAGGTCTAAGCGGGATGTAGCGTTGGGGGTTGACGAGAGGGCCAAGTTGTAGTAGACATGTGTGTGTGTGTGGCTCCTCACGAGGTTGGAAATGAATTTTTGATTTGCATTTTATACCTCGACATTCTAGATTTTTGGCATTATCGAATACATGGGATGTATCACTACTACTACTACTACTACTACTACTATTTCCATCATCTACAACCCTTTGTTTCTCTTCTACTTGCATCATATTCTTTCAACTTTCATATCAGAATTCGTCATCACCCCTCATCCTCCTCCTTCTTTCCTCTCCCCCTGAATATGCACTCCCAGCTTAAAATTCACCAATACACGCCCCTTTTTCGTTATTTCCTTCATATGTAAAACCGAAGAGAGAATATCAGATTTGCAAGAAAAAAGAAACAATCAGTCATGACCCATGAGATCTGGTGAGAAAAGCAGACACCAAAACTGCTATTTATATAACCACATATCCGTGACTTTGAGTTTGAAATAAAAAAAAAGTCGTAACTCCATCCAACTCTAAAAGTTGAAAATCAAAAACTCAAAACCAAATACTGAAGACCCTTTGCCATGAAATCGTCAAGTTCTTGCCAAAGGAATAATGAGGAAATGAGGGAAAACAGGGGATGGGAAATGAGAATCTGACAACCACCGTGCTACAATGATTTGCCTGATCTGTAACTCGTTTCCCGCTTGAAATATCTGTGTAATAGCTGTAAGCTCCGAGACTTTTTTGTATATGCCGAAGTAAAAAACAAACAAACACCACATATGAAGTCAAAAGAGGTCGTGTCTCTCCCAAAAATGCAAACAAAAAAATCGCCCAAAACGCTCGATATTTCCAACTGTTTACCGGTTTGGAAAGGGGTATGCTATATTTTTTTTCTTGGTGTGTCGTAGATAAGTCGCATATGGAAGAGGATGGGAGAGTGACATCTGGAACGGGAAAAAAGGTCTAGGTGTTCTTGTTCCAGACCCCAGTGTCCTTTGATAGGCCTGAAGTAGCAGTAGTACGGTGTCCACCAACGGGTGCGAGGTTGGGGCTGCCCTTGCCACCTCCGCTACCCCATGAGAGACCGCTCAAGCGCTTGTTGCTTGTACTGGAAGTAGTGGATGCACCATCCCTGCTCTTGTTGACATCCTCCTCCTCTTCCATGCTGAATAAACCCTGCTCTTCCTCAATCCTCTCGCGATTGATGCTGCTGCTGCTAACTGCACGATCCATGCCAAGACGTCCACTCGAGTTTCCGATGCTGTTAGCTGAGGTAACACGGTTGATACCAGGATGGACCGGATTGCTGGTTATGCTCGCCTCCTCCCGAGTGGACAGACGAGTTCTCTGTAGTTGCTGGCTAATCATACTCATCGAAGCTTGGCGGGGAGGCGAAGACAGGTAAGGACTCGCGTCGCCGGTGGTAGGGCGGCTAATGGCGCGCAGTGAAGGACTCGCTCCAGGATGGAGGCTTGAGTTACGTAGCGGCGAGCCAACGTGTCCAAAGGCCGACTGTCCTGGCAATGAGCCTGACTCGAATGCATTATCGTATGTTGGCCCGCGGGGCTTGGCCCACATGGACTGGAACCGGGATGGAGAAGCAGTCGCTGCTGAGGGAGATCCATACTTGAGGTCGGATGCGGTTGGCGACACCCCAAGCCTGGACTGTGCAGCACGTTGGGAGAAGGAACTCTCGTTTTCACCCTGGTCGCGTGAGAAGCGGCGCATCTTTTCCTGTGGGGTGAGCAGGTCGCTGAGCGAGTTTGGCAGCAGATCCTCCTCGAACTTGCCAATCATGTCCGTCTCATCCCACTCCTCGTCCTTGAAAGCAGGTCGCGCGCCCAGACTAGATGACATGATACCACGAGAGCGATTCGCAGCGAGCTCAGAGTGCAGCATTCTTCGTCCAGTGGGCTGCTCTACCGATTCTGGTGGGGAAGAGCCCAACGCTCCAATTCCTCTTCGCGAACCATCACCAAACGCAGAGTCGTGCAGGTTGCGGAGCGCAGGCGAATCAGCCTGATACGAGGACGGGGGCGAGTTTGCGAGGAACTTTGCTGGTACAGACGAGGCGATGGGGCCATACCGGGCCATGGTAGAGACACCCTGGCTATCAAAAGAGGCAGGCAAGCCGACGTCCATGACACTAAGACCTTTGTGTGTGGGCGAGATGGGGAGGCGGCCATTGTCGTTTGGTGGCGAGCCGTAGTTTGAGCCGGGGTGGGAGGAAAAGGTGGTGTCAATGGTGGGAATCATGTCGTACTGGTTCTTGTGGTTGACGTAGTCGTCCTGAAGGGCGTAGGGGTAGCCTGGCTGCATGCCGCCCATGTGTGCCTGCATGGTCAGTAGGGAGCTGTTGATGGGCAGCTCCTGGTGGTGGGGGACGTTCATGCGGCCAAAGTGACTGGCGGCGTTTCCACGGTTGACGACATGGCCGTTTGGCAGGATGTGGGCCAAGGCACACTTTTGACCAAACTTGCAGTTGCCCTTTGTGAAGTACTTGCAAGGCGCGCGTTCCGTCAGCGGCTCGTCCGAGTGCAGGAAGGGACAGGCCTTGCCTGCCTGGCATGCGCCCTGGCGGTAGAACTTGCAGGGGACATGAGAGGTGTCTGTGGAGGAGGGTCAGCAAAGGGCAGAGGCAGGCAGGCAGGCAGACAAGGACATACTCTTGTTGTTTGGGGGGCTGCGGGGGCCGGCGAAGCCCATGTCGCGCAGGTTTGGGCGGTGGTCGTGAGCGGGTTGGTTGATGCGTCCGCCTGGGACAGCCATGGGCGCGTGAGTGTTTGCGCCAGCCATTGCGCCAGAGGAGAGGTGGTGGCGGAGGTCGCGCGAGGGTCGTGGGGAGAGTTTGGGTGTGGCAGACGAGTAGGGCTGTGTCGGGGGTGGGTTAAGCTGGTGGGCAAAGGGTCCGTGTGGGAGAGGCGGTGGTGGGGGCTCGTGGTGGGGTTTGTCGTCGCCGGCGTCGAGGGCAAAATTCGAGGGCGCAAATGTCGCCATGGCGCTGGTGCTGGCGGTGACCTTGACAGAGGCTGCTGCTGCGCGTCTCGGTCCGGAGTCGGCGGTCCACCTGGGGCCAACAGAGGGGGAGAGATTTCTCCCTCGCACCAGCGCACCCGAGGGCAGACTCTGGGTGCAGGCTTGCTTGGATGGGGCACGTCTCGGGCGACGGTGGCTAGGCCGGGCGCGGACTAGGCTGGTCGCTTGGGGCGGGCTGCGAGCGTTGGAGCATGGGATGCGCAAACGACTGCGAGTGTGGGGGGAGGGCGAGGGCGAGACGAATCGACTGCGGCCGTGGGAAAAAAGGAAGCAAAGAGACCAATTGCCGGGGCTGCATGCATCTAATACCACTTGAAATCTACAGAGGCACTTACATATACACACTATAATATACCAACTGCTGCTGCCTCGGCCGTCGCCGCGTGATGCATACACATGTACACAAGCTCGACAGGGCCCCGACGCGTGCCTCGACACTCACATGGCACCTCCCGGCTGAAACGCTCCATGCTGCACCCGGTCATGTGCCTGTCTGACGTCACTATCCATCTGTCTGCTGTGAATGAATGAATGAATGCACAGAGATATCTACATGGATACATACACAGACGCACCTCTGCATCCACGCTTTTGCTCCCGTCCACTGACACCATCCTCTCCGCCCTCGCCCTCTGTCTGCTGGATTGACATGTCGTGACAGCGGCAGTACCGCCTAAACTCCCTGCACTAGCAATCACGTGCACTCGGCGCTAGACTCGACTCGAACATCAAAGCATCCCATCACTCGACACCACCCGCTTTAGGCGATATCCGACACACCACCACCGCCACCATCTGCCTGTCTGCCGACCATAGTGCACTCTCAAATGTCGTCCTCTGGGTTAGGGTATGCTGACCAAGCAAGCCAGCCAGGGTTTTATCATCTCGCAACAGATTCTAGCAGTGAACTTGTACCACCGACACCTTGACTCGTATACCTGACAATGCCTCCCATTCCAGTAGACTTCCCCATACTTCCCCAGACATCCTTCAAACGACCGATTGCTTGATCCAAGTAGCCCCTCAAACAGTCATGCCATACCAGGAACCACTTTGCAGGCAAAACTGCCATTAGCTCCCCCCCCAGTGCTTGACCAGGAAATCAACAACGAGATAGACGCTAAACACGGCCGAGCCACCAAGTCCAACTGTCAGCAAAAGATCTGCCACTCGTCGCTGGTCGTTCCAGTTGATTCGCACCAAGGCAACTAGAAAACGATGCGTCCATCGTATCAAGCGACATGACCAGCACCGCCAGAGCCATCGACGCATTCGAAACTTCCAGCCTGGCCTTGAAGCTACTTGCGTTGGCACGTTGACTGTGTCTGTGGGACCCTCGGAGGTGTTCGAAATGACCGAATCGCGTTTGGCCTTTGAGTTGCCTGTTGGAACCCCTCGAAGAGCCGCATCTTGTGCACCACTGGCCCCTGTTCCTTCTGGCTCTTTGGTATCTTTCTGCCCGTCTACCAGTGTCTTGGTTTCGCCCCCACTCGTCTTATCAGCATTCGAAGACGTCTGGTTTGCACTGTCTCGATTCGAATTCGTCGCCGGTGTCTTGCTCGTCTCGCCATCATCGCCTCCAGCCCTCTTTGCCTTCTTAGCTCTATTCTTGTTCTTGTTCCGATTCCTGTTCTTGCCCATGGTCCCACTCCGAAAAAAAGGATATACCCACGCTAGTTGTATACGCCGAAAATGCTACCAGTATGTTGATGCTTGGGTAAAGAATTGTCGTCTACGGTGAATGTTATTCAAAACTGTTGCTATTGTTAATGTCGAGGTTGTCGTATAAGACTACGTCTAAGACACCTGCTAGCTTGTAACCAAACAGCAACATCAAGCGTGCTTGCCATGTCTACGCTGGGAAACACAGTAAGCACAGACACCTTCGATGCAAGACTCTTACTCAAACAGAGAAAAAACCGACATGTATGTTGCTTGGCTCTTGACCGCTTCGCTTCGGGTAGTTGCAGTCAAGACGAACCCGCGCTTGACACTCGTCAAAGGGAAACAAGGGAAACAAAAGAATCACAATCGCATCTTCTCTGGAAGGCACACACTTATATTCGTCGCCAATCCAAAGAAAAAAAAATCAAGCCCGTATTTCCCACATCCTAATATGTCCCGCCTCATTGGCAACCGCCAACTGCGCCAGACTACCTTCCTTCTCCTCATCTTCACTCGGCCGTCCCCACGCCACCGCCGTAATCCGTCCCAGCGGCGTCTTCTGGCTCGGCCAATTCTTAAACACAGTAGCCGAAGGCAGATGCACCAGCCTCATAGCATTGTTCTTCCACCGACTCGCCATAGCGAGCACCTGTCCATCCGGTGTAAACGCCAGGTGAGAAATTGGCGTTGTAAGATTCTGGAGATCTCGCAGCGGCTTCGGAGTGGGAGGGATACCGCCGTTTGAATCGGCTTTTGGCGTGCTGAGGGAAGGATCGTTTTCGCTCCAGGCGCGACGGTCGTATATGTTAACTACGCCGCTTGAGCTGCCGATTGCTACCCATCGGTCACCTCCAAGCCAGTTCTCGCGCCCGCTCTTGCCGCCGAGCGCAATGACTGTCGTGCCGACGGCGCCTTCGTCGTTCCAGCGTCCTACGACACCGTCTTCCACGCTCCACTCGGTGACTTCACCGTTCTTGCCTGCAATGCACATGCCCGTGCCATCGCCCCACCATGCAAAGTCTGCAATGCCGCCTCGCGATTCGATCCGGACTTGCGTTGCCCATTGGAGTGTTCGGGCATCCAGAATGTTGATGACACCGCCGCCCTTTCTAGACGAACCCCGGAGAGCCATGTATTTACCGTTTGGAGATAGAGCAAAAAACTCCATGGTTCTTTGTTCGTGCTGGTGACCGTAGACACGCGACACCTTTTCCACTCTTCCGCTTGCAATGTTCCAAACATGGAAGTAGCGGCGACGTGCGCTCAGGAAGATGCGCGAATCTGATGCAGATGGATGGAACGCAGTTGTAACAAGAGGCGTGCGCTTGATGTGCAGTGATGTAAGTAGAGGATTTGGATTCGGCGGGTTTGGATTGACGTGGTGAAGGTACAGTGTTGAGCTGGGTCCGGATGAAAGCAGTAGTGGGTAAGTAGGATGGAAGGACAGAGAGGTAATGGCAGACTGTAGAAACTATTAGCCATTATCAAATCATGTATTGGGCTCGTCCTGCTTACCGGTCCGGCTTTGGACACATCCTTCAGACGTTGAATGTCAATGGTGCCTGCTTGGAGCTTCCTTCGCTTTGCGCTGCCCCTTGAGACCCGTGAAAGGATATCAGCATCCTTCAACAGCTTGGCAAGCGGCGCTGTAGATAGGTCCTCGTCATCGACGTCCATGTCGCTTGCCGACTCGTCTCCACTCTCATCCTCGTCCATTGTGCGTCTCCGCTTCTTGTTGGCCTTGCCTGTCGCATATGCCGCCCAGTTGGGTGTAGGATACAGCCTCTCGTACTGCTTGCGCAATCTCCGCGAGTATTCTTTGCCGTTGACTACGTCATCGTCTGCTGTCTCCCGCAGTTTTCTCAGCTGAGGTACCGACGCCAAACTGACCACCAGCCGTTCGTCGTCGCTATCTTCCCACGCGGGCTTTTCTTCTTCGTCGTCCGACTCCTCTGTACCCTTGGGTGCCACAGAACCCGCCGGTGCAGCAACTGGACCTGCGTCAAAGAAGAACAAGTCCTGGTCTGCTACGCCATCAAGAGACGCCTCTTCTGCTCCCGATTCGTCTGAATCGTCGTCATATGTGCCGGTCGTACGGTCGAGCGAGAAGTTTTCTAGTCCTTGCCGAAAGCCCTCCGAGTCGCCAAATATCATACGCTCAAGCTCCTCTTCTTCAGCATCCTTTGGCAATACCGGCTTTTCCTGTGGCTTTTTCTTCTCCAGCTGTATATCTATGCTCTCCCTGTCGCTCTCATCACTCTGACCTCCGTCGTTTTCATTCTCTCCTTCTGTGTCAAACCCTTCGAACCCATCCTCTTCTTGCGGTTCCTTCACCGGCTGCAATGCGCCTGCCTCTGCATCGCTGTCGCCAGCAGCAAGGTCTGCTTGATGTCTTGTCGCGCTGTCCGATTTGGCAGCTTTGTATCGCTGGTGTCCCCCCGACTTGTGCGGAATCGTCGTTGCGGGTGCCATTGCCGTTGGATCGTGGATGCGAAGAGGTGCAGGCCGGATGGTCGCAAAACTAACGTCGAGAAAATTGTTGCAGGGATCAGCCAGACGCGACCGGGATTAGCGAACAACGCGACCACCACCCACTCACATGTCCGCCACCCGCTAGTCCAGCCTTACCACCAAAGAGGTAGGTAGGTGGTGGTCTGATATTGCACATGTCTGTTCAATCTATTGAGTAATCAATTGGTTCTAAAAACTAGCCTGCAAATGCATAGCTTCCACCCTATACTACTTGAAGTCACTTCAACCCTGAGTACATGTGCCCCGCGAGAGCAAGACTGTGGAGCAAAAGGGCGTAATCCTTCAACTCTATAAGGCAACCCAGGTGATACATGTACTGAACAGGGGACAGCCTGAGTCATCATGAACGATAAACTAGTCTGACAAATAAGTCAAGCAACCTTCCTCAGTCGGAACCTCTTCTCCAATCTTCACCATCCCATAACCGTGACTCCAACCTACTCCCTATACACCAACACCGTATACCCTCCCACTCTCCCCCCAAAAAATGCCAGACCCCAACCTCCAAATCTCGCTCCTCGACCCCTCAGAAGCAGAACAATACATGCGCATCCGCCACGAAGTCTTCCGCAACACCGTCAACCACATCCTCTACCCGCGCGGCGAGCCCTCGCAAGCCACCCTCGACAAAGTCACAGATTCCATCCGTACCGGCATCACCGACGGAGTCCTCTTCTTAAAATGCGTCGATACCACCACGGGCGAAATGGTCGCCGGCGCCCGCTGGCGCTACTTTAAACCACAGCAAGAGGGTGCTGCGCAGCGCACCTGGGAGGAAGTCGATGCAGGCCTCACATTGCCTGAGCCGTTTGAAGAGAGCGACCCGGAGATGTGGAATGAGGTTTTCAGTACGATGAATGCGAATAAGAGGGAGGTTCTAGGGCAGAGACCGTATTACGCGCTGGAAACGCTGGTTACGTTACCGCAGCATGAGAGGAGGGGTGCGGGGAGTATGCTGGTGAGATGGGGGTGTGAAAGGGCGGATGAGGCGGGCGTGGAGGCGTTTCTTGAGGCGAGTCCGACGGGAGCGCCGTTGTATGCTAGGTTTGGGTTTCAGAGGGTGAAGGAGGTGGCGTTTGATTTGAGAAAGTGGGGTGGGACGACAACGATTGATCTTATTGTAAGTTTTTTTTGAGAGGATTTGGAGGGTTGGACTAATTCTTGTGGCAGCTTATGTTGAGGCCGGCGAAAGAGAAGGTGGCAGAGTAGGTGATGTCGTTGGTTTGTATGTCAAGTCTGAAGTCTGATGTACAGTGTTGATTGCGGATGATCTTACGCTTTCTTCATATGCCTCCCGGCCACGATGTATAGAGGAGGACATCCGAGTATGTGTCTGGATGTCAGGTGATAAACGCATCTTGTAACAAACTGGTAACACAGCGACTACATGGATGTCAACCGTCACGCATAGCTTTATAAATTTCCGACGCATTAGTCATTCACTAGCCTGATAGATTGGGTAATTAGAATGCCAGCACGATATAATAAGGATCGACTAGAGAATACTTAGACTTTATGCCTAACTTACGATCCGAATGATGGCTCAAAGCTTCAGATATCCATATTTTACTCTTGAAATCAGTAAACGACGCATGTGCTTGGAACAGAACTGAATGCGCATCTGGCTACCAGTCATGCAGGAGTCACTGAAGGAAGAAATAAGAAGTCACAAAGAAACAGGATATTGTAGAACAACTGGTCACTATAGGATTGCTTTGTTATAGAATAGTCACATCATGCTAACCAAGCATGTATCCGAAAAAGCCAACCCTGTGAAATCAACCGCTTCTCAACAAACGAAACCTCAAAGTGCACTGAAACAATAACAAAAGTGCACATCAGAAGCAATCCAACAAACAGACATGCTGGCAAACTCAAAAAGCGAACAACTACTAATATAAACAACGCCTCGCGATGCAGATCTTGGGTGAACATTCCACTTCAACCCATGTATCCTATAAAATATTTACCAACACCAAAGCGCCCTGTTTGTTGTGCAGTCAAAAGTTATATATCGTATTCCCAGACAGTTCATGGTCGATCTTTGGGTATCCTTGGCAAACCAATGATCTTCCGACACTCCATAAGAGAGGGCCGTAATTCATCCTGCTTTCAAACTTTCCTCTTCTTTGTATGAAACATGCTGTATTCCTCCTTCTTTCTCTTTGGCGCAGGGGCTACGCCTCCGCTTGCTGGTCTTGGTTTCGGCGCGCTGAACTGCTGCCCTGCAGGTAGTGAGGTTCGTGATGGTGGTGGCGGGTTGCGCTGTTGGGGCGCTGGTCGCTGTGTGATATTTGGACGGCTTGTAGAGGGTGTAGGCTCCGGTCTGTTCGCCATGGATGTAGAGGCCTGTTTGGACAAAACCATACTCCGAGGAGCCTCGCTCTCAGCCATTCGGACCATACGCGCTGGAGCTTGCTGAATAGGCCTCTTTCTTTGGGCCAGAAGATGCGCGGGTATCTGACTGGCTTTTGGCCGTTCACGTCCGTGGTCGAACATGCCTCGTTTCAGCTTATCGAAAGCGGCTTTGCCTGTCTTCGCAGGCGCACCAGAAGGCTGACCCCAACTTGTCGTAGTTCGCCCCGTGAACATCCTGCTACCTCCAGAACCATACCCAATCCTGCTGTCCACGATAAGAGTCTTGTTTTGTGCGCGATCCTTTTGTATCGCCTTCATATGCTGCTTCAGCGCCTCTTCATCGGCCTGTTTCTCACGCTCGGCATCCTTTTTCAGCTTACGGTAAACTTTACTCCAGTTCTGAGGGTCACGCGGTTCATGTGGCTTCTTCTCCCAGTCTGGTATGTCTCGTTTTATGAAGCGGAGCCAGATTTCGCCTGTCTCTCCGAGTAGCTGAGGGCAGTTGGACTCGAGCTCGATAAGCTGATCGGGGCTTCGTACGAATCGGAGAACAGGCTGGAGGAAGGAGTAGGGCAAATCGCCAACGTCGCGGAGCATGTCGATGTTCTTGATAAGCCGCTGACGGGCCAGTTCGAAGAGGGTAAGAGCCGGCATGGTGTAGGCAACGGAGGCGTCGCGAAACGTATATGCAAAGGCGTTGGGATGCGATATGTGTCAGGGTTCAGTATCGAAGTTGGGGTATCATGCGACTCGTCGGTTGGGCTTTGGGGATTGCTGAAAGGATGGTTTCCACTTGTAGTTATGCGAACCATTGACGAGTGGTGTATAGGCAGCGTGGTCATGAGATGGGTTCGAGAACCCCACAACATTCACGGTTGCATCTCGCCAGCCTAGGCTTCAAAGAAACTATTGTTTTCGAACAGCGTTATTGACAAAGCGACAAAGCGAATGTTTAGAATGAAGAGCTGAGAGTAGTGAAGGAGAAAGCGCCGAAGGTGTATATCTGACGTCGGATGGGCCCTGGCGCTAGTTCAGATCCCTGTCAGACGCCGCGATGGACCATCAAACTGCGGCGTCGCGACTTTGAATACCAAAGCAGCCCACCACCAGTGACCCCAACAGCTGTCGCATATTTGCGCCTCTACACCGAAACAATGGCGACCAAGGAATGGGGCCTTTTGTCCCAAGCAGACGAGGGTAAAACCAGCTATTATCTGCTTCAAGTCTCCCGCTAACCTGAGCAGATGCGCTCCACAATGTATCGCGCCTTCTAGCAGTCGAGGCTCGTCCATACACAAACGCCGCAGGTCGTCTGCTCAAGCCGGGATTCTTTGAAGATGCACGCCCAAAACAGCTTCTCTCGCCGCCGCCAGACGCCACAGCTGCTGAGGAGGAAGCAGTCGCGCTGAAAGTCGAGCGCGAGCAGCAGGCACACAACATTGAGATATGGCGCAAAGATATTATGAACGAGCTTTCGCTACTCGACTATGCAATTCTACGCGCCGAATTCACGACAAACAGCAATCATACGGAGCGCGAGCGATACGCCGTGGAAAAGACGGCCATCGAGGCAAAGCAGGACCATGTGCGCAAGACAATTGAAGATCTTCGCGTCCGACTCATCGAAGCCAAGGAAACACTTGCCGTGCGTAAGACGTATGACGAGTTGACCGAAAAGATCACAAGCAGTAAGATGCTCAAGCCGCGCGACGAGCAAGCACATGCACACGTAAAGCTGGACCAAGAGATACGGGAGCTCGAGCACGAAGTACAGTCAGCCAAGGATACCTGGAGTGAGCGCCGTACACAGTTTGGCCGCATAGAAGAGGAGGCTCGGGAGATGCTGCGCATGATCAAGGATGAGAAGGAAGAGGCTGAGCGCAAGGAGGGCATGATGAAGGACGGGGACGAGGATGGCGAGGGAGACGGCAGCATGTCCAGGGGAGACGTCAGTCATGCTGGTACGCCACGGCCGGATGGTGGTATGACGCCCGTACACGCCAGCCAGGGCGGAGAAGGGTCGTCACTACGAGCACCGCCCCAAGATCGGTTGAAGCCTCTGTCTCGAGACGTCAGTATTGCACCTTCGGCTAGGTCTGGTGCTGCAGAGGACACCGAAATGGCAGATTTGGGTGCAAACTCAGGCCATGCCAATGCAGATGACTCGGATGGCTTAGAAGAGGGCGAAGACCTGGAAGATGGCGAGCATGACGGTGATGATGGACCATCAATGAGCATGGACGAGTCGTAATCACATGTGGAACGGTGTCTTTTCTCATGATTTGCTTGCATAGCGCGGTGTTAGGGTATCAATGTATCTTCATCTTTCGTGGCGGGCTTGTAACATCTAGTCGCAGTATGACAATCCTGATTTACGAAGCCTCACTCATGGCAGCCTTTCCCTTTGCAACCGCCTCCTTTGCCTTTGTGACTTCCTCCTCGGAAGCCTCGCTACTGTTCTCCTAGGTCTGGTCAATACCATCATTCCTGTGCACTTGATGAGTTCTTCAGCTTACAAGTTCTTCTTCCAGCTTCTCAACCGCTTGCTCAATCTTGATCTTCATGCCTGGCAGTACGTTCTTGGTCTCCTGGAGTGCTTGACGCTGTAATGAAATTAGTGTCTGATTATTGGATTTTGGTGAAACCCTGGGGCATAGGGATATAGTATACCTCTTGCTTGAGTGTGTATTCGCCATTGTGTTCATCTTGACTGGCTTCGGCCTTCTTGACGCGTGCTTCTTGCTGCTCAATCTCTTTGTGGTAGCTTGCTTCCTCCTTCACTAAGCGGAGCACGACGCCAGTTGCTATAGCGAGCTTAGACGGAGGGGCCATGGCGGATACTTGGGAATTGCGTGTGTGTGGAAACAGAATGGATTGATGTCAATTTCACGAGGAACTCGGCTTTTGTATGTTCAAGTCTACTGGTTTTGGTTGTTGCCTGCTTGGAAATGTTCGTCTGTCCGCGGGGCTAAACTGCCCCACTGACCTTCTCTACAAGCTGGTCTCGACATGTACCAACACCAAGACGGCAGTCTCCTGGCTGCATTACAAAGAATTGGATATTACATCCTTTGATATACCCACTCCCCTGCATGAGATCTCTCATATACGTGCAGCTGGGTAGACATCTGTAATGCCAAGACCACTTAACCGTCCCTTTACAGACTAGACCAGAACGCGTCCCACGCGTCCACAGGAGGAGTGGGCGCGATAAACTCCACCTCCCTGGCAACCCCTCTAAGTACAACATCAACACATTCACCCTGGCTGCCGCATAGAGCGCCCCAACAATGTCTTCCCCACCCCAGCGTCGCTCTCAGCGCACGTCGGCCTCGGCGACCCCAAGGAGAAGCGCTCGTGGCCAAAATTCTCAGATGCAATCGAGTCCAGCACCAGTAGATCCGGACGAGCAACTCCAATCCGAGGCGACACAAGCTTCACAGCGTGGACCTCAAGCAACTCCAAGAAATGCACGGTTTCAGACGACTTCGACCCAATCGCCTCTTTTCTTCCAATCCTCGCCTGCTCCTGCAAATGGGGCTGAGGAGAGCGATGGTGGTGCAACACCAAAGGCGTCGGCCATGAACATTGGAGGTATGGAGAGCAGGCAATTCATCAGTGACATGACTAATATGTACAGACTCGTCACCTATTCACTATGCCTCCAGCTCTAGCCCTGGTCGAGCCCGCAATGCCCAGAGCAATATTCCGGGTAGCAGCAGTAGTGCCCTCTTCGTCCGTGGCTCAGAGTCTGCAGCACGTAGTCGACGAAATGATATCCACTCTGATGTCTTTGGAACTAGCTCCACCAATCGCCGCCGCAGATTATTCGTCGATGAGAATGGCATGCCTGTTCAGGATGCCTCAGATGCAGCAACGTTTTCCAATATCAACCCAGATACTTCTGATGCCGATGTGTTGGGTGGGAACTCTTCACGAGTCATTTGGGGAACCAATGTGTCTCTGGTGGATGCCCGTCATGCAATGAGGGACTTTCTCATGAACTTCCAAAAGAAGTATCGCATGATTCAGGATGGCGAGCTGGAAGAAGGCATGAATCTTCCTCCGAACCACCCAGGCATGGCTCGGGAGTACGTTGATATTATGAAGATGATGCTTGAGCTTGGTGTCACGCCATTGAACTTGGATGCCCGCAACCTCAAGGCCTACCCGCCAACGAGGAAGCTTTGGCACCAGTTGCAGGCGTATCCCAACGAAATTATCCCAATCATGGATGTTGCCATAAAGGACACTATGCTCGAACTTGCTGAGAAGCGAATGGCGGAGATGAGGACTCAACTCTCGCAACAGCAACGCGGTGCTCAGCCTAGAGGCCGTGATTCCAGTTCTCTACCTCCAATGATGAGTTCCGATGCACCTACTCCTGGTGCTCCGTCTCCTGCTCCATTCCCAGAGATCCCTAATCTGGTTAGCGAGGTGGACCAAAAGACCTACAATGTAAGGCCATTTGGTCTGGACAAGACCATCAATCTGCGCGAGCTGAACCCTGGTGATATGGACAAACTTGTCAGTGTCAAGGGCCTGGTTATTAGGACTACCCCGATCATTCCTGATATGAAAGATGGTAAGTTGAAGGATGATAATCTGTCGACGGTAGCTAACATCACTAGCTTTTTTCCGCTGCTCTGTGTGTAACCATACGGTCAGGGTAGACATTGACCGTGGTAAGATCACCGAACCCACCAAATGCCCGCGTGCGGTGTGCGAGTCGCCCAACTCGATGCAAATCGTGCATAACCGCTCCGGGTTTGCCAATAAGCAGGTCATCAAGCTACAAGAGACTCCGGATGATATGCCAGATGGTCAAACACCGCACTCGGTATCCCTTTGCGCATATGATGAACTGGTTGATGTCTGCAAAGCTGGTGACCGGGTAGAGATTACTGGTATCTTCAAATGCAACCAGGTCCGCATCAACCCACGACAACGATCAGTCAAAAACATCTTCAAGACATATGTCGATGCGCTGCATATTCAAAAAGTCGACAAGAAGCGTCTGGGCATCGATGTATCGACAATTGAAGAAGAGCTCGCAGAGCATGCGGCTGGTGATTTGGAAGAAACCCGCAAGGTCACTGAGGAGGAGGAAGAGAAGATCAAAGCCACCGGTGCTCGTCCCGACGTGTACGAGCTACTTTCTCGTTCGCTTGCCCCAAGCATCTACGAAATGGAGGATGTTAAGAAGGGCATCTTACTCCAACTCTTTGGCGGCACCAACAAACAGTTCGAGAAAGGCGGTAGTCCAAAGTACCGTGGCGACATCAACGTCCTGCTCTGTGGTGACCCATCCACTGCCAAGTCCCAGATTCTGCAATATGTCCACAGAATCGCACCGCGTGGTGTGTACACATCCGGAAAGGGATCTTCAGCCGTTGGTTTGACTGCATACGTTACTCGTGATCCTGAGACTCGACAGTTGGTGCTCGAATCCGGAGCCCTGGTATTGTCTGACGGTGGTGTTTGCTGTATTGACGAGTTCGACAAGATGTCGGAAGCTACACGGTCCGTCCTCCACGAAGTCATGGAGCAACAGACTGTTTCTATTGCCAAAGCCGGCATTATCACCACCCTGAACGCGCGTACTTCTATCCTGGCCTCTGCCAATCCCATCGGCTCCAAGTACAACGTCAACCTCCCAGTCCCACAGAACATCGATCTCCCGCCAACCCTACTTTCGCGTTTCGATCTTGTTTACCTCGTCTTGGACCGTATCGATGAGCAGAACGATCGTCGAATGGCCCGTCACTTGGTTGGAATGTACCTTGAAGATACACCCGAAAATGCTGCGAAGAACGAGGTCTTGCCAATTGAGTTCTTGACCGCCTACATCTCTTATGCGCGCTCCAACATCCACCCCAAGATCACCGAGCCTGCATCGAAAGCGCTTGTAGATGCATACGTTGCTATGCGTGGATTGGGCGCCGATGTCCGCTCACAGGAACGAAGAATTACAGCAACCACACGTCAATTGGAGTCGATGATTCGACTTTCGGAAGCCCATGCCAAGATGCGTCTTTCTGAGGAGGTCACAGCCGATGACGTCCACGAAGCCGTCCGCCTCATCAAGTCTGCCCTCAAGCAGGCAGCCACTGATGCACGCACGGGATTGATTGATATGTCGCTCCTCACAGAAGGCACCTCGACTAGCGATCGACGCAGAAAGGAAGACCTCAAGCGTGCAGTCTTGGCTTCGCTCGATGAGCTTGGTTCTGCCGGCCAGAGCGTGCGATTGAGCGATCTGATGAAGAGCGTCCGAGAGGGTGCGAGCGAGCAAGTGGAGAACCAGGAGTTCCTAGAGGTGTTGCGAAGCGCGGAGTTGGAGGGTGCTGTGCAAATTACGGGCGAGGGTATGCGAAGGACAGTGAAGAAGGTCGTTGGTACCTTTTAAGCTTTAGAGCATAGTACTAGGATTCTGTGTCGCTATTCTATGGCTGGTACTGTCTCCTACCATGATGATGTGATGGAAAGTTCGGTCTAATGTAGCATGTCGTCTGGTTGCTATTTTACGTTTGAATAGATGATCATGATATCCATGTTTTAGAAACTCAATGAATGTTTGCTGTGGTGTTGACCCTTTGGAAATCTCTACAGGTGCCATGTTATATGTTTCTAGCTTCTGCAAGACTCTTTACGTATCTGGATTGATGAACTGGTACATGCATCTTTGACTGCGTGAATGAAGAGAGACTGTGCTTTAACTATAACGACTAGCGGACACATGGTACAAATTTATGAGCATATCAAGACATCAAGACCACATGCAACATATTCTAAAATACCTATGGCCCATCACACAGATAGCAATTCTAATTATTCAGCATTACCTACAAATACTGCTACTCCGTGTATCTCCTCTGCTCATCCAATACTCCCGACATTCGAACCTCTAATCTCATCTCCAGCACAACAGCGTCGTGTCCCTTTCGCTCATTTCTCTATCAAAAAATCTAAATCATAGTCTGTTTCTTTTTCTTATCCTAGTGCTCACTAGATCTCGATCCCCCTTCACGAATACATCGCTTTCAAGTAGCATGGACGGATGAGTTAAAGCAACTAGTACTGACTGACTTGCTCTCCTGACTGGCTACAGTGTCTTCAATATACAGACCCGGGCGACTTTGCACTCTGAATGTACCATTGGCATTCGATAGTGGCGGCTTGAATAAAGTTTGGGGTTTTCACCATGTGAACCGGTGTAAGTTTGCGCCTATACTTATGGCATCTTCTGGAACAATATGATCACGTACTTGGACCACACGGTTCTCGGCATGAGATATCCGGCTGAATCTCTTCGACTCATGCATATCTGCCCTTCGATTGAACCATTAGCATGGAATGATGTTGGTCTGCTTGATTTTATCAAGTTTCCATACTCCTACATGCGTATGCTCCATCTATCGGCCCGCCAGTAGAATGTGGGACCTAGACTACTTTAGGAATCGGGTACAGGCAGCCACACGCTACCACTCATCAACACGGTGAAGGTGTCTATCGATCTTCAAACAGCCTAGAGGCTTCGAACGTTCACGAATGATACCCGATTAGGAAACGATATCGATTACGATCCCCCTCGGTTAGTATGTGGCGTGAAAGGATGCGCTGAGTCAGTCACAAAGGAAGCGTCTCGGCGCGAATAACTTTACAACGCCGGTAACAACACGCGCCCGCTTACTACACATTTACAACACACAATGCCCGATTGGATACATGTACATTTCTCCAAGGATCTACCGCAACGCTTAATATAAACTTGAAAAGGTACAAACCAATTCGCAAAACCGCTGCGCTATAGATACAGTTCCAACCCGGAACGCACCCCCCCACTATCACACCCATCACCACTACGTACTAGGACAATCTCTACACACACACACGTATTCAAGCACAAGATGAACAACTCCAAATACGCGCCCAAACCCCCCGCAGAAAAACTCGCAGAATCCAAATCGGAAAAGCTAAAAAAAGATAAAGACCGCATAACCCGACTTCTCGTACGTTTGCAATGGAAAGCCGAACTCCTCATGCTCTCCTACCTACGCACCCTAGACCTACTCCAGCACCACCCCCCCAGCAGCACCACCACCACCCCCTCAATGTTCCAAC